TGGACTTGAGGTCATGATCCAGTGCTACTGACGTTGGTGGAGCCATCCCATCGGGCAACTCCTAGCCTCTAAGCACAGAAAGGCTTGTCCTGGCCTGCCTTGGCCAGAACGCCGCACGGGTTTCTTCCGCTGTAGAACTACCCCCGTGACAACTTGGCAGGGGGTGGTTTTTGCCATTTGGTGAGCTTTTCCTACGTAGGAAGAGGGATTCTTTTTGGCAGGTTCCTAAACCAGAGGGATTTGCGCGCTCGAATTTAAGTAACGGATGGTTAAGAAAGGAATTTAAGTGGCTGCTCGTAAACCAATGGATTGGTGTGAAATGGAGACCAGGATATACGAGGGTGGGATGTACCGTCATATAGATTCCGATCAGAAGGAGAATGTTCTCCACGCTCTACAAATTGAATTTCTTTTGTATGGAATTAAAGTTCTTTTTCCCTTTCCAAAAATTCGCAGATATTAATTTCGTGTCGTTTTTTTTGACATATGTCCCTTCTTGTCCGTTTTGTGGGGATACGAGATATCTTACCCAAAACTCTGCATGCAACCTGAAATAAGAATGGCCTCAACAACTCCTCACGAATTTACACACGAAAAATATGCCCAATGTTCGGGTGGATGTCAGTACTTTTTAGGGTACGTGTAGAGTTTCGTGGGAAGAGAATCCGGGCTTGAGTCAGAATCTTTGCATGTCAAAACAAATGAGACAGCAACACCAAACCACAGAAATCAGCAACTCGACTCGGAAGCCAACCAACGAGGCCCCACCCACAAAAAAAAAAATAAATAAAGCCCAACTCTCCGAGGTGCAAAGACCTCTTTGAACAGCAACATGAGCAGACCTATTGGCACTTGCGGGTTATAAAAGGGAAGGAAACATTTAACCCAGTTGCCATCTTCAAAGTTCAAACAGTCCCTAATCAAAAAAACCAATTAAGCAATGCACACCACATTCAGTACATTGAAAACATCTCCCTATGAAAAAATACGTGATGCCTGATCTGAAAGACATGTTGCCGGAAACCGAAAACCCACCTCATTGATTATCACTTTTATGATGCCCACTGATAGGTATTATATATTTTCAGTTCCCGGCATCATAGTTAAACCTCTCTATTTAATGCATGCTAAATTACACTCGGGATCTCCTACCCACAAAATTTTCAGACATCACTACCCTTAAAGTCACAATTCACAACCAACATGTAGGGGTGTCAATTCGACTGGATTTAGTTCAATATAAAGGTATAAATTGGGCCAGCTTGACCCAGCATGATTTTGAACTGGTTTGGTCGGGCCCGACACGACGGTTAACTGGTTGTGCCGTGCTGGGCTGGGGGTTTGAGGCCCATGGGTCAGCACAGCCCGCCAGGCATGTAACAAGTTACGCTCGGCCCGCCCCCCCAAAGGGGCTCAATGGCTAGTTTCAGCTTTTGGGGGGTATTTGTGTGTTTTGCTTATGGGGGGTTGAAAAAATAACATAAATGCCCCCCCCCCCCCCAATAGCTATATAACAACTAATTTATGGGGTATTTTGGGTAAAGTTATAAGTAACTTTACAATGACCAAAATACCCCTCCCAACAATTAAATAACAGATAGTTTTTTGGAAATTTTAGGCAATTGAATTATGTTCAATTCCTATAAATAGCCCTATCCTCCACCATTCTCATCACACCAATTCAACAATTCTCCTATTAAGTTATTCTCTTAATCTCTTCAATCTTTCCTCTCTTACTCTCTTTCAATCTCTCATACATTCCCTGCCATCTGAGTGAACTCTGATAGTCTCATAGTCCGATTTGCTGATTGCTTAATTCTCCAAGTTGACAATTTGAGAGGCTTGGAGCCTTGGACGTTGTCACGTTGAAAGGCTTTAACCGTTGAAATCAAGTTGGAATCCTGAACCGACAATCCGGGATTTCGAGGTAAGTCCAATTAAATTAATTTTATTTTTTTTGAATTTACAAAAAATGGTCGGCTCTTCCCAAAACCCCAAGTTTAATAGCCTGATTTGGAGAATATTTAAAATAGAGGATGTTGAGGGGAAGGGGAAAAGAGCAGTTTGCCAAAAATGTAGAAAAGGCTTTATCTATTGTAGCAAGGGTGGTACTAGCCATTTGACCAAACATTTTCTCACACATGAGAAGGAAGAAAAATAACCCACAATTTAAATGAATTTTTGAAATAATGGAACATAAATTTTAAAAATATTGGGAGAAGTCGGAGTCTCGGAGAACATTTCTCGCCGCCAATCCCACCATGGCACGTGATCCGTGATCTACTAACCCCTCCGGTGTCTACAATCTATAGTTCCATTGGAGTCTTGTTTAGTTGTTTTAGTGCAGGACCTGCAGGTACCACATTACGACATTACCACTGTACCAGCCTACCAAGGTTGGCTAGATATAGTTATGAATCATGATGCAGAATATAGATTACAACTTTATAATTACAAGACAAAGGAGGGCATGATACTACAGACTACTACAATACTATAGTACTACATACACCGGATATTTAGTTTTTCACCTGAAGGAGATGATGAAAGTGTGTGTGAACGCTTTCATCATAATGCATTATGTAAATTTTGTTTAAATTATAAATTTTAACACAAAATTATTATAAATTTTGTTTTAATTTTATTTAATTTATTTGCTATTAATTTAATTTTATATTTTCAATTTGTAACTATATAGTCTATATAGTCTATAATTCTATATTGTATTTTTTATATTTTATTAATTTATTCCATTTTCATATTTCATTCATCTAACTATCCAAGTATGAAGTTTATGAAGTATCCAACCATTGTATATTTCATGATTTTAATATTTGTATAATTATATGCTTTGTAATTTGTATCATTATTCATTCAAATTTAAATGAAATAAATTTTTTAAATTCCTATTTGAATTGCTTTATACTTTTATTTATTTATTCTTTGGGTTATTGGGTAATCATAAATTTATTATTTGTTTCCAGTCTTGATTCCTGAATCTTGATCCAGTGATCTTGAATCCCTAATATGACATTTGATTTGACAATAATCCTTAATCCATTCAATGAGTCTATCCCAGTTCGGCCTAGGCCCAAGGCCCGCACTGTGGCCCAGCCCGGCATGGCTTGCAGCCCAGCTTGGCCCAGGCCCGCGTGCTGGCACAGCGCGGCACGGGCCCACTTGGGCCTGGGGCGTGGGCCATGCCGATCTAACCCCCAAAATTTCCACCGGGGAGGATGGCATGGCCCACTTTAGACCTCCAGTTCAATCCAATCTAGTCAAATGTGAGTCCATTATAAATGGAATAGGTCCAATCCAGTCCAATGAATATTTTGGACCATTCTGGACCAGTCCAATTTAATGTCTGGACCATCCAATTTGTTTAGATTTGCTTTGGTTTAGATTGGTTTCAACTTAAACCTGGTCCATTGACACCTATATTCTTATCTTATATCAATGGACCAGATATTGGCTTAATCCAACCCAACCCAGTATAAATTTATTACGGATGGACCAAATCCAATCCAATCTAATAAATATTTTGGACTGGATTGGTCCAATCCAATATGTTGTTGGTCCATCCAATTCATCAAAATTGATTTTAGATTGAACGGGACCAATCCAAAACCGGTCCATTGACACCCTTACCAACATGTATACAAATTGGGAAACATCTCCCCATGAATGATAGGGAAAATATTCCGAACGCACGGTTGTAGTGCCTTGTAGGTAGGATTGTGGAAAGGGTTTATGAATAGGGGATATGAGCTTTTTTTGGTAAATAAGCTTGTTTAATTTATAGGAAGATGTTTCCAATATGCAATTTACTGCCCTGTTTTTTAAAACGTGTACAGAGTTTTTACTTGTAGCGGATCCCATCGCCCACTTGGCTTTGGCTTTATCCCATTTCTCACCACAAATAGGTTGTAATCCACTTACCAAAAATTAATGTTTTTAAAATTGGACCGGACCGAAAAAACTAAACCGATCACCTGATTGGTTCCATTTTACCCCAGAATCGCTTTTTGGCCAAAAATTATTGATTTGGTCAGCAAACCATTGACCAGTTTTTATTTTTTTTGTCAGAATGATCCATCTGTTTGATGGACCGGATGATTGGACCGTTTGACCTAAGAACCAGCCCCAGAACAGTTCCCTGAGTTCCCTGTCCAGTCCAATTTTAAAAACCTTGCCAAAAATAAATTTGATGGAAGTCTAGCTGTTGCTATTTGTTATATCTTTTATTCCCTATCAAGTTGAGTTTGTCCAACTTGTTCATGTGATGGGCTTGCTTAACTTTTGCCAAAATCTGAATGAATCCGGTTCGAAGCCCTCGAAACAGT